ATATATTAAATTACAACTTTTTTCTTATCTAAACTATATTGAATTCTTCTTGTTTTAGAGGCTATTAGACAACAATTCCTTGTAATACAGAGAAAGACTTGGAACACTTTATAATGGAATGGCTTAGATTTGCAAACATCCGTAAATAAAGAAAAAAATCTTAAAAGGTAAAAAAGTAACATAATGTATTTATGTCTGTTAAGTTAGCACCCCCCATAAAAAAACGGAATAACACATATGCAGAAATTAAGTGCTCTCATGCGTTAATTATATGTGCTCTATTCACGATTTTTGTGCTCGAGCGGTTTTGTGGGAAATTGCAATTAAAACTGGGGGTGCTGGCTTAACGTAAGCTAGCACCCCCACTCATTAAAATTACATATAAAATAAAAAACTCATTATGCTAGAATTATGTGCTTTTTATGTGCTTTCAAATGCCTCAAACAAAATTAGTCTATCTGTAATAGTTTAAAAAATATACGCAAAAAAAGATCTATATACTATACTGATATAAGAGTAAAGTATCAGTTAAAATACAGAAAACGTAATAATTTTTGTCTTAAAATGTTTTTTGATTAATGTGTTCTCGAAATATGCACAATGAAATTTTTGTGCTTATCCCCTTTGACCGACTTGAACGTGAACACCCCATACGTGCAAAAGTAAAGTACCAGTTAAAATACAGGTAGCAAATTGGTTTTGGTCTTAAAATATTCCTCAATTTATGTGCTCCCGAAATATGCACAATGATTTTAAAAGCATAAAAATCACATTAATTTTTTTTGTCAATGTAATTTTTTGATACAAATTTTTTTAATAAACATAATTATATATGTAATATCTAAATATTCTATTACCATATTCTTTTGTACATCATAAAACAAATATATCTTTCAAGTATTAGTCGTGCAATTGTAGCGTGAACTGCACTATCATTCATGTAACATTATCATAAAAAACAATACACAAGAGATTCTATATTAATACAAATTAAAGTTTACTAAAGAGTAACTAATTTTGAAAATTATATTTTGTTTCTGTTATTAGAAAGAAAATGTTAAAAATTAGTTAAACATATGTTTACTTATATGTATTTATATATTGTTCAGAATCTCAGTGAAAAATTCTCCATAATATTTAGCAACTTTGCAATACTTACTCATAACTCATATTAAATAACTTTAAAAATGTATACAAATACATATATTTAATTTTATAAATATTAATATAATTATATTACTTATATACAAAATTATATTTTACTTGTATACCTCAATTCTTCCTATCTATTCCTGCATGCACTTCTTCCATCTACTCTCTATCAAATATTTGATACTGATAACTATCTCACGTTTTGCTAACAATTTTACATATATAACAATATTTATGTAAAAAATACTACATTTAAAAATTTTTCTGAAATCTTATTAAACAAGTTAATCAATACATTAACCAAAACAAAAATCTTATTCTGTTTATTTTGAAAACACATAAATTGAGGAACATTTTAAGACTAAAACCAATTCGCTATCTATATTTTAACTGGTACTTTACTCTTGTACGTATGGGGTGCTCACGTTTGGGTCAGCCGAAGGGGATGAGCACAGAAATCTCATTGTGCATATTTTGAAAGCACATAAATTGAGGAATATTTTAAGACTAAAACCAATTCACTATCTGTATTTTAACTGGTACTTTACTTTTGTACGTATGGGGTGTTTACGTTTGGGTCGGTCGAAAAGGATGAGCACAGAAATCTCATTGTACATATTTTGAAAGCACATAAATTGAGGAATATTTTAAGACTAAAACCAATTCGTTATCTGTATTTTAACTGGTACTTTACTCTTGTACGTATGGGGTGTTCACGTTCAAGTCGGTCAAAGGGGATAAGCACGAAAATTTCATTGTGCATATTTCGAGAACACATTAATCAAGAAACATTTTAAGACAAGAATTATATTGCTTTCTGATACTTTACTCTTATATCAGTAGTATATAAATCTTTTTTTTACGTATATCTTTTAAACTATTACAGATAAACTAATTTTGTTCGAGGCATTTGAAAGCACATAAAAAGCACATAATTCTACTATATTGAGTATTTTATTTTATAATATAATTTTAATGAGTAGGGGTGCTAGCTTACGTTAAGCCAGCATCTCCACTTTCAATTGCAATTTCCCACAAAACCGTTCAAGCACAAAAATCGTGAATAGAATAATTAGCACATAAAGAGCATTTAATTTCTACATATGTGTTATTCTGCTTTTTGCGGAGGGGGAGGGGTGCTAACTTAACAGACATAATATATTTTGATACATAGACTAAATCACTGAAGATGTTACTAATATTTCTGAAGTTGAATGAGAAATTCTTATTTTTCAGCAACTGTTTGGTAAAGATCCGGAAAGATTAATAATCTGTTTAAAAGGAAAGAATAAGAGTTTGGAAAAAAATAGTAAAAGAGTTATATTAAACTAAAGCATCTGTATCGCATTGCCTAAAGAAGAGTTAGAAGGCACCTTAATTTCCCTTATCCAAAGGCTGACTTCAAAAATCCCTTCCTAGAATTCCTTCCTAGGATCAATACTTTCTGAGGTAATTGGCAGAGATAATTTGCAGAAATAATTGGCACACGAAATAAATCTCATAATAAAACCTATATATGTATATGTATATGTATATATTTGTTCATATAAATAAAACTACTTTTTTATGGTAATTAGTGTAGTGCATTTTATTGAAAATAAATACATACGCCCTGAAATGAAAATAAAATATCAATAATAACTTTAAATAAATGTTAGAATTAATATTACGGTAATCTTAATATAATATTGTAATAAAGTTGATAGTTTGTTTAAATTTTTATCTCAAAAACATTACAGGAATGATAGAAAAACCTTAGCAAAATGTTATTTGCAACGTTATGGCACTCCCATTTCAACATTACTGAAATTTCGGAATCGTGGTCAAAGTATATTCGTAATGATGTTCTATACAACATTAAGAACTATATATTTAACAACATTACAAGCTCTAGAATATTGTTGCAATAACATTGTAATAATGATTTTTTGCTTACTGGGACATCATTGTTTGCATGTATCATTGTAACCGTAATGTAGTATAAAATTAGTATAAAGTTGATAGATATGTAACAAATACTACTTGCAATAATTTCTTGATTTGAGAACATTGTAATTTGTGGTACTATTTCGTAGATATTTCTACAAAAAATAACTATTACTACAAAAAATTAAATATTTTAACAAAAATGTACAAATTTCTATTTCTAGTTAAATTTTGTATCATAGAAATTTTTTCCGTTAGGGATGATAAGGCCCTGATCGTGCATCAGGTCATCAGGTATGCCTGACCGAATTTCTGCTCGGGAACCCCGGCTGTAATTACCGACGTTCAGAAAGGACCGAAAACCGGCCTTGCAGAAACGTCTGTCGTGGGCTGTGCGGTCAGCTGCGGTCGATTTGACGCTACAAATGCTTTGAGGCGTTCTTCCTCTCCTTCCTTCTTTATTGAAAGAAAGGAGAAGAGGAATGCTTCGAATATTTGTAGCGTCAAGTGGACCGCAGCCGTAATAGTCGTAAAGCAAGGCAGAGAAAAACGTAAGTCGTACAAGGCTGTACATACAATAGCCTACGTCTCGTTCTCTGTCATCAGCCTGCGGGACCTTCCTTCTTTACGAATGGTATTTTATTTTATCTACAATATAAATTTATCTAGACAACTTAAAATTTTTAAATCGTCAAAGAAATATCTTAAAACTTTGGAAAACAACTTATCGAATTATCAGAAAAAGAAACGAAAACTGATGAAATATATATCAGAGGGGAACAGAATTAAATAAGACGAAGTCGCGTTGTCTAAAGTTCCAAGAGTTAATGATCGAAGAATTGCGATACCGAGATTTAATATACCGGATATAATACATTTATAGAAGAATATTTTTACGCTAATTATTTAATTAAAAATAGATAGAAACTTTCGATTCTTTAAAAATAAAATAAATTTTCTATTAACAAAAAAAATTTACTATTGGAAGAGACATGGAAAGACATTAATTTCTAACGTAAATTAAAATTCTAATTATAGTTGATTTCGATTAAAAAAAATTTTACGTCAGACTTTTATATCGTGCTTGAGAGAAAGAAAGCTGTCGAGGATGTTAATCAGAACGCACACGCAATCAATGAGGATATGAGATGTCAAAGTTCATAATAACTATAGTGCTTCGGTCACTGACCACTATGCTTCTTGGTATACCGAGTGTTCCTTTCTAAACATTCGTACACAATTTTATACGTTTAGAATTTAGAATATATAATGTAAAATAAAGAAAATTGAAACAAAATATGTTTCGCGTAAAATTTAAATTTTTAATTTTTACGTTTGAAATCGTAAGTAATTTGAAAGGCGTTTGAAATGTCTTTTTATGCAACACGTGCATGGAAAGTGCCCTATTAAAACACGCTACGCGTGCGTGATAGACCACTTTCCAGGCACTTGCAACATAAAATAGGGAGTGTAAGCCGTGTGTAAAGATGAAAATTCCCGGGTGCGGAGTTTACGCACGAGCCGAAGGCCCGTTACCTCACTTGTTACACAAATAACTATTTTTCCACTCTTGTGTTTTCAACATGTTGGAATTATTTTATATATTTTTCATAAAAGTAATTAGGTAATGTTTCTTAATGCCTCTTTTGTAGATTAAGTGCAATGAAGTCACGCTTCAAAGAAGCAATGTGAGATGTATTATGTAAGAATTTCTAAAAGAATAAAGTTATTTTAGCTGTGTTTAAAACGGAAAAAGAAAAACAAATAGAAAACTATTTGAAAGCTGTTAAATTAAATTCTTATGTTAAAGATTAGAAATCCGTAGTTTTATGAGATGAATTTCTATCGATTCCCTCTAATTTATTTTGCAGCCCAGTGACGTTCCCGATTATATCATGGTTGTAAAATGTAAAGGGAAGGAGGGACTAACCCGGTGACACTGCATCCTGCGGTCTATCTGCCATGTCTTATGCGAATCAGCGTTAATAGAGGAGACGTGGAACCATAACTAAAAAGCACATGTGTGCATGGAATGCGCAAGTAGTCATCTAGACGACAGTTGCACGCATGCATCGCAGAGGAAAACCAGGCCGAAAGAGGAATGCAGTTCGAATAAAGGGATAGTCCAGCAAAGGGAAAAGAGGAGATAGTACACATTCTATTACATTCGTTAACGTGTTATGTTAATCTGGAGGATGAGGAATGTTGAGTATTGAAGAAAGAGAAATAAAAATATTGAGAAAGGAGGAAAGAAGTACGTAGAGAGGGGCCGATGATTCCAATGACCGGAAATACGTCGTCACGAAGATCCTGTAATCGTGGACTCGGCGTACCGTATCTTTGGCGGGTCTAAGCCCACGTGGGGTGTCCTGTACGAGTACCGGAAAATTGGCGGAAGCATGTTTTGACGACGAGAGAAGATGCGGCCACAGGACCACGCCAGGGGGCAATGGAGAACGCTGCGATCCACGTGGATTGTGCTCCTCGCGCGTTCGCTGCTTCTGCCGGTACTCATCGCATCCGGTTTGCAGTCAAATGCAGCGGATGCCGCGCTGCAAGACGCAGGTAAGTTTCAAAAATTTCAACGCAATGGTATTTAGCTTTTAAATTCGCTTTTAAATGGTTATCTTTTTTTTTATAGGCGTTATTTTAATGTGTAGTTAAAAATATCTCCATTGCCATCGAAATTATTCAGAATGTTTGTAATTTTAAATTTTGGAGCATATAGAAAGACTCCCAAAATAAGAAGCTCTGTAAACGTATATTGAAATTTACTTTGTTTTTAGATATAATAGCGTTAAATTATTTACGATTATTATTAGACAGTTGTAGAAATTTTTGGCCAAAAAAAAAAATTTAGAAATAAATTTTATTGAGGAAATATGAACAATATATATGGTCTTTACTTTATAGTTACAATAAATTCGCGTGTTTAAATAATAAGAAACAAGTTGAACGATAATCATTTCGATAAGTTTTCGAAGTAAAAATTCTTTTCTTGTGCCCATAACTCATAAAGGTCTATTACTGAACTGGTTGCTATATTTAAAGAGAGAGAAATTGAGAAGAAAGCTCGTTTTTTCTGGTATGAGCTATATTGTCGATAGATGCGTTTCTAACTGATCTTTATTGCGCTAATTGACACGCGTATGTATTGCATGCAAAGTTGCGTGTCACAGCGGCATCCTCTTAAATTGGTCCAGACATACGTTCCAACGACTTGAATTATGACTTGCAGGTTCACGGGTTACTGGGTTTCTAGTCGTTCGTTGTGCCTATTGTATCTGTGCATTCCCATTTTTAGCCTCGTCTTCCCATTTTAGCCATGTTACGTAATCGCTCTATTAAAAACGAAAACTAAATATGATTTTTCTTGCAATTAGAAAAACAATAATACGTGTCTTAAATGAAGAATAAGAGAAGCTAAGCTCTTTCCTTTTTTTCTTTTATTTTGTATTTTTCTCTTATTTTTTCTTTTTTAACAACTGCTACATTATATCCACGTTACTCTTAATGCGATGCTGCTTCTTTAGCTTAGCTGCAATTTTTTTTTAATTTTAGCGAAGAACGTGACTGATCTAATTGAAGCCACGGGGATGCAAGAGCAACTCTTTGGAGTGAGAAGGACGGAAAGTCGCTGCAGAGATGGCACGGTTGCGTATGACATCATGGAAGCCGCGATCCTGATGACTCCTACCAATACGCTATTTCCGACCGGTGTACCACAGGATTTCTCTATCTTAGTTGTTGCAAAGCCGATGCAAGCTAACGAGTCAACGACTAAAGGTAATTTATAATTGTTTGCAGGTATATAATTGTTTGCTATAATTAGACGCGCTTACATTTGTATATCCATTAAAGCGTCTATAATGACATTTAATAAAAAATCGAGGCTCTTTTATAAAAGATAATACAAAATAATTTGAAAACTTTAAAAGCGATCTTTGATACTTAAAAATTCTGTTAAGTGATAAATTTTTTTGTTTATTTTGCACAATTTTTTAAATCTCGAAGTTATTTAAATCTCGAATTTTATTAACTTGAAAATTGCAAAAAAGTTATCACTTTCATCTTACAAACTAAAGTCTTTGTTTAATTGATATTCGGCTGTAGATTACTCCACGTCAGTACTCTTCACTATCTATGGTGACAGAGGCGAGGAACAGTTGATTCTTTCGTTGGGACGCGATATTAAACTCTTCTATAACACAAATTCGGACGATAGGAGTGAACCGATTTCCTTTGGTGTCGATGTTTCTGACGGGCGGTGGCATCGATTGGGAGTTAGCATCAAGGGCGATGCTGTTACGATTATTCTCGATTGTGACAGGCACATCACGAAAAAGTTGCGGAGGAACCTCGAGAAACCGATCGCCGGCATCGTCATGATTGGACAGCAACTTAAGGGCGATTTATATCTGGTGGGCGAAAAATTCAGAAAAATAATAATAACATAAAAGAGTTAAATAAGAGTTGATAGAGAATTTAAATGGTCGTGAAGAGATTGTATCATCTTTATAATTAAATGTGAAAAGTTAAATTTACATTTGTAAAATCTTAAAACAAGATTGGTTTATATTTATCCAGGGAAGTCTTGAGATGTTGAAGATTTCTGTAAATCCGGACGCTGCTTACGAAATCTGCACACTGTTTGCCCCAGATTGCGAGCACCAATCAAGTACATTGAATTATAATTCATCTTTTAACGAAGATGATTACAAAGAGGAGACTGAGAAAGATTCGGATGAAGATGATAACGGAGACTTTCCACTTCATGAGACGATCAATACAATTAATGTATTTCGATCAACAGAGAATCCTGTAAGAATGAATGAAATTAAATGAATGTGAAGTAAATTAACATTAAAAAAGACTAATAGATAGAAATTATATCTTACAAACATTTAAATTGTTATTTTTCTGTAATGTACATATTAATTTATATTAATTTATAGCTATAAAATTGCTTTTTAATTAAATTGATCTAGGAATGAATGCACAATGTTAAAGATAAAATAAACTTGATGAAGCTAAATTAAAAATCTTATTATTTAAGAGTAAATCACATTGTAATATTATATATTATTACAAAAATTATACATATCTATAAGATTCTTGATAGAACTTTAATCTTATAGATTGATGTTCAATTATTTCAGATATTTTATGAAATGGAAACGACGATGACGACGACGACTGCGAATGTGTACAATACGGAATCAAATTATCAGCAAAATTACGGGGAATTAGCAAATAATCCTTATGATGGAGATTATGTAAAGCGTTATAATACCCGAGGTCCATCTGGACCCCGTGGGTTTCCCGGGCCGCCAGGAGTACCCGGCTTTTCCGGCAAGAAAGGCGAACCCGGTCGAGATGGACTGTCTGGATTGCCAGGTGTATCGGGTCCACCAGGCAACGTCTTCGTGATACCTACAGTGAATCAACAGGATAACGAAAAGGGGCCGGATTCTCAAGCGGAAATGTTGCGACAGTTGATATCTCAACATATGCATGCGATAAGAGGCGTAGAAGGCCCGATGGGTCTTACGGGCGTTCCGGGTCCAGATGGTCCGCCTGGACCTCAGGGTCAGAAAGGAGAACCTGGAGAAATTGGCGAACCTGGACCTAGAGGGGACCAAGGTATAGAACAACAACTTTTGGAACTTGTAAAAGATCATAATGACGATTTGTTTTGTAAAGTTATCGATTCTTAATTTTTTTATGTATTAAGAGATTAATTAAAAGATTTTTAAAAATTCTTTTGTATTATATGCTTTTAGTTTACTTAAATTCCTGTTTCTTAAGATTAAAATTCGAATTTTGTGGAATGATTTTCTTATAATTTCTATAAATCCGCTTTTCACAGGAATTAAAGCAGATTTTTTACAGGAAGTCCCGGAAATCCTGGTAGGGAGGGTAGAAGAGGTCATCCCGGCAGAGACGGTGAACGCGGCCTCAGTGGACCACCAGGGACAAAAGGCGAACAAGGGCCAATAGGATTACCAGGTCTACCGGGTGATAAAGGTGAACGGGGACCCTCAGGAAAATCTGGAGAACTAGGTTTACCAGGCCACGAAGGAATGCAGGGTGAAGACGGCCCTCCGGGGTTACCAGGCTTACCTGGTGAATTGGTAAAAATGTTATTACGATTTTATTTCTAAAAAAGAATATTAAATGACGAAAAATACAAAATAAGTTTTTCTAAAAAAGTATAATATATTAAATAATACATATTTTTAAGATTTATTTATTTAGAGTTAAAATATTAAATTAAGAAAAAAAAGATATGTTAAAAAAATATATGTTGCAATGTGATAATTTTTTGTAAATGAATCTGAAGAATGGAAAGTAAAATTTGGATGCGATTTACTATGTAGGGTCCGAGAGGTTTTATTGGATCAAGAGGTTTCCCCGGATTACCGGGTAATCCTGGTATTCCTGGAAGTGAAGGGCCACCCGGTATTAAAGGTAATGCTGGTCCACTCGGTCCACCTGGGGCACCGGGACAATCAGGACCTGCAGGCTCAATAGGATCGCCAGGACCTCAAGGTCTACCAGGGCCGATCGGCTTAGTTGTAAGTTATGGATACGATTTTTTTTTGGTTGTGCCATGATTTTGGCTACATTTAATATAATTCAATTTCATTAAAAGGGTCCACAAGGAAAGCCCGGAATTCCCGGTCTTCCGGGTGCTGACGGATCTCCTGGACTTCCGGGGAATCCTGGAATTCCAGGAATGAAGGGCGAGCAAGGCCCACCGGGCTCACAGGGACCGGTGGGATTTCCGGGTGTCCGAGGTGTGAAGGGTGACGAAGGGCAACGTGGTCCACTGAGTGAACGCGGCGAAAAAGGGGAGAGAGGTTTGGAGGGTGAAAAAGGCGACGCAGGAATGAAGGGAGAGCCCGGAGCGACAGGCCCGCAGGGAATTCCTGGCCTCGAAGGTTTGGAAGGGCCGAAAGGTTTCGAGGGACCTCGTGGTGAAACTGGGTCCGCAGGCTCGCCCGGAGAAAAAGGAAAGATAGGCATACCGGGATATGCTGGCTATCCCGGAAATTCTGGAGAAAAGGGGGACAAAGGGCAACTAGGAATTCAAGGGCCAAGCGGCGATAAAGGAGAAAGAGTAATGTTGATAAATTTTATGCAAAGTTTTAAATAATGATTTTAACGTCTTGTAAAAAATATCGTTTGTTTTTTCTTTTTTTTCTTTTAGGGAAACAGCGGATTACAAGGAGAACGTGGTACAACAGGCCCACGGGTAAATTTTTATTGTATATAACGTTTCACAATTATAGACTTCTCACACGCAAATAACTGCGTATAAAATTATTTTATTAATTAAGTAATGTAAAATATTAAATAATGTAAAATAAATATATCAAACGATAATTTTAGTCAGTTAAATAATTTACTACAAATATCATATAGGGCTTTAGAGGAACTCGTGGTAGAAGAGGAGCGGAAGGATTACCAGGACCAAAAGGCGACACTGGTCAGCCAGGACCCCCTGGATCATCAGGCGATGTTGGTCCTCCCGGTGTTGAAGGTTCACGTGGATTCGTGGGACCATCGGGTCCACCAGGTCTCGATGGAAAGGACGGTATACCAGGTCCGCCCGGCGAGCGTGGTCCAGCTGGCGAATCGGGACCTACAGGACCTCCGGGAATTCCCGGTGTTATTGGTCCTCCAGGACCACCTGGAGAACCTGGTCAACCAGGCGAACTTGGAGCACCTGGCAATCCGGGAGCTCCGGGTGAGATTGGTCTACCGGGTGAACAAGGGAAAGAAGGACCGCCGGGTCTAGTCGGCCTGATGGGAATCAAAGGATTGCCGGGTCCTGGCGGATTACCAGGATTTCCAGGTGAAAGAGGTCTGAGCGGTCTGCCGGTTAGTTATATTCAGAATAAGGCTTATAAGATGTAAACTTAATAATTTTTAATATTTAAATTTAATTTATTATAATTATAAAAAGTTGAATGTTTAATTTCAATTGTAAATTCTAGGGATTGCCTGGCTTGAAAGGTGAGATGGGACCTGTCGGAGCTCAGGGACCGCCTGGCGATAAGGGTGCTCAAGGTGATCCCGGTAAAGATGGACCACCAGGCCCAGAAGGGAAGCAAGGACACAAAGGATACAAGGGTTCTACCGGACTCAAAGGCGAAAAAGTAACTATAAGCAGATGAGAGAATTATATAATTTAAATTCTGTTTAAAGTTCTTTGATGTCTTTAATATTTTTTTAGAGTGCGATATATACTTATGATCACAAGAATAAAAAGTATAATGTTCAATAACAATGCAATTAAACAATATATGATTAAAATATTTTTTATTTAATATTTTTATTTAACAGGGCGATCCTGGATCAGCTGGACCTATAGGTCATGATGGTCTACCAGGACAACGAGGTTTACCTGGGTCACCTGGACCAGTTGGTTCCCCGGGCGAAGACGGCGATAAAGGAAATGTAGGTCCACCCGGCGAAAAAGGATTTAAAGGATCTCAGGGGAATATAGTATGTATATTTGATTGATTGATATAAATAAGATAAGTTTAAGCAATAAATAATTATTTTAATCTTGATATCATAATATACAGGGCCTTCCGGGCCCACAAGGAGTACAAGGACCACGTGGTGAACCTGGTGCGGTAGGTCTTCCTGGAGAGAAAGGACTACCAGGAGAGATTGGACCGCGAGGGTCAAAAGGCGAGGTTGGTCCGGTCGGAGCAACTGGGCCAGCTGGGCCTGTAGGACCGAATGGTTTACCGGGTCAACCAGGGCCAAAAGGCGAAGTCGGAGATCCTGGAGCGATTGGTCCTGTAGGGCTACCGGGAACTCCCGGAGAACGAGGTCCGAGAGGGTCAAAGGGCCTTAAGGGTGCAGAAGGCCTGCCGGGTCCAGAGGGTCGTCAAGGCGAAAAAGGAGACAGTGGAACGCCAGGACCTCCCGGAAAACCAGGAGTGGAGGGCAAACAGGTAAGATATACATATTCTCGAAATTTTGTTATAGTGTCACACGTTGTTATTTATCTACTAATGTACTTAAGGGAGAAAGAGGTCCACCTGGAACGAAAGGGGAAGAAGGCAAGATAGGATTTCTTGGACTTTCTGGACTACGAGGATTAACCGGTCCCGAGGGACCAAAAGGTGACGTTGGATTACCTGGTCTTCCTGGTCCATCCGGAGAACCTGGTCTTATAGGCGCGAAAGGCGAGACTGGAAAGGACGGCGAGGATGGACGCGCAGGCGATCCTGGCGTACCAGGCGAAGCTGGGTTACCTGGCAAGGAAGGATTACCGGGTCCTCCCGGGAAACCGGTATGAAAATTTCAATTTATTTATTAAAAGAGAATGCTATCCACTCTTAAAAAATGATAATAATGAATTAAATAAGTAATTAGTTATTTTAAAATGTACTGTTAAATATATATAATGGTGCGTGTCCACTTGCGAGTAAGAACTCTCGAGAGCAAAAAGAGAGAAAGAGAGAGAGACTCTCGAGAGTATCTCTCTCTCTCTCTCTTTCTTTTTGCTCTCAGAGTTCTTACTCGCAGGTGGAGACGCACCATTAGAGAATTCTGAAATATATAAAACATTAAAAAATTTTATTATATAAATATTGTTAATTTCTAGGGTCCAGAAGGGCCGGCGGGTCAGCAAGGTAATACAGGTTTGCCAGGAGAGAAAGGAGACATTGGTCTTCCTGGAGAGCCGGGTCTTGAAGGGCCTATCGGACCTCAAGGTCCTCCTGGTTTGCCTGGTTTTCCAGGAGTAAGAGGTTTGCCGGGCGCTGCCGGGGAAAACGGTCTCTTAGGCATGCCGGGAGCCACTGGCGCTCCTGGGATTATCGGGCCGATCGGTCCGAAAGGCCAGAAAGGTGAGAAAGGTCGCAGAGGTATTAAAGGACATCGAGGCGAACCGGGACTCGTTGGAATTAAAGGCGACTACGGAAAGCGGGGAGAAAAAGGTGATCGCGGATTGCCTGGGATGGAAGGGCCCAAAGGAAATCCTGGACGCGCAGGTCACGATGGACCCAGAGGAGAACTAGGATTTGTCGGTTTACCTGGACCACCAGGACCATCCGGGCCGAAAGGTTATGCTGGGAATGACGGGATGCGAGGTGACGCAGGTCCGCCGGGTCCGCCAGGACCACCAGGGCCGCCTGGTCTATCAACGGGACAATTCGATTTCGAGGGGATAATACCGCCGACGATATTTCGTGATCAATCGGCCAAAAGAAAACGCGACGCTTCCGAAAATATGTAAGAATCTTTCTATGATTCGATCTAGAAAGAAAATTCGCAAATATTAAATCAAAAGTTATATCGCTTTTATAACATTCTTTACTCTGTTTTAAGTATTTGATTAAATTGTAAGCTTTTGTTTAGTGGATTTGAATTTTAGAATTGTAGAGAGATTAATTTTCTTGATGTATTTAGCGAGGAAGATGAGATATTTGACAAGAAGCTCTTAGACATAAACAAGTCTTTTTTAAACATACAACAACAATTGCATTTAATGCGTAAGCCAATTGGTACCAGAGAAATTCCGGCGAGAACGTGCAGAGATCTGTTTTACGGACACCCCGATTTGAAGGATGGTAAAGTTACTACTCTTCTGCTACAGTTTTCAATCAATGTTGCATTAAATTTTTATAAGTAAACTTTAATATTTTGCAAACAAAACAATATTAATAACTCTCTTCTTGAAAGAAAGTTCTCATTGTTGATATTAAATACTTTTAATAGATATCATACATTTTGATAAATTTTTGATATTTATATTTTGATAATTTTGCTTAAAACTTTTTCTAAGGCTTTATTCTATCACTTTGTGTAAAGCTCGGTTCTTTTATTGATGACATTTTTTGCGGTAGAATATAATAAAAAAACTGAGTATGTCTCCACTGAGAGTTAGAAGATTTTATTACGCTTTGTCAAACAGGTTGGTATTGGATCGATCCAAACCTGGGCATGTCTGACGACGCTATCAGCGTGTTCTGCAACATCACGAACATGGGCGAGACTTGCGTCTTTCCGGATATCCACAGTAGTCTCATGCCGAACATACCGTGGAGGAAAGAAGACAATAAAACCGACTGGTACTCACATTTACGTGGAGGATTTAGAGTAAGATTAATGAAATTTTCATTTTAGTACGCTTAATTATTCTTGCAATTAACGTTATTATCATCATTATATTAATGCTAATTAAAAATATCAGGTCTGATACTTTTCTTGCAACATTATCAAAAGACTGTTTGCTAAACAAATAAATAAATGAATAAAATTACGAAGTCTAGAGGTATAAATCTTATCGAATCAAACCTTATAGAATCAATTATATGTTTTCCAGATAAGTTACGAGACGATCGGAGTAGTGCAGATGAACTTCCTGCGTCTGCTCAGTCAAGAAGCTTACCAGAACTTTACGTACACGTGCATGAACAGCGTCGCCTGGTATGACGGTGAAGATCGGGATTACAATCTCTCGGTGCGATTACTCGGCGACAACGAGGATGAATTCTCGTTTAACGGTATTATGCCTCATGTCATCGCGGACGGGTGCAAGAGCCGGAGTGGCAAGGAGGAGACCGTGTTCTTAATTCGCACCAGGAAGCTGCAGCAGCTCCCGCTGGTCGATTTTTACCCGGTCGATTACGGATCGCCGCAGCAAGCTTTCGGCTTCGACGTCGGCCCGGTTTGCTTCAAATAGGTCAGTGAACTGATCACACTGTTCTCTCGCGATTATTATCTTTATGCAATTTTTACGTGATTACGCATGATTACGTATTATACGAGAGGTGCAGTTTAAGGCAAAGTTCGATTTACGCATAATTCAGGAAACGAGAGATTATCATGTATTTATAGCATAATTATGGACTTTATATGTAACATGTTTTAACTTTTTTTTGTACGTACAGTACAGGCCGATATTTTAAAGTATGTTTATAGATATGATAATTTAGATAAATAATACGCTTAATTATGTCTATAAATAAAACGGCCTGTTAATTATTGACTGTCTCTCAATTTACTCTTAAACACATGTTTCAGCTGTTAATAATTCTTAATTAATTATTTTAAACGTATACTAATTAATATCATTGATTGTTAAAATTAATTAAATTCGGATTATGCTAAAGTAGATTTTACATTTTAATTTTTAATTATTATGTAGTTAATTATTTATTAATATGTACGCATTTTTGCTTTTCTCTAAGTACCACGCATAAATAATGCTATAAATTATTAACTCATTATTTTATTATTTATCTTTAATGTATTGTTACGTACGGAAATTTTATACTAAATTTCGGACGACACGTTGGAAATTCGAACGCTTAGACGACGCACGCTAACCTCGGAGGGCTGCGGGCCAGATGGGGCCCAAAACTACGCTTCTAGAATGTTATAGAAGCTTCTAGAATACCCCCCCCTTAAGACGCGTAGGAAAAAGACGGAAATCTCGCGCGGGAGATTCCGGTCTTTTTCGGGTATAAATAGGGCGGAAAAACGCCGCGAAGGGCGCGAAGAGGCAGATAGTTCCGAGCGATATGAATCTAACTAAAATCATATTAAATCATATTTAATTTGGGTAAAATTCAAATTAAATCCAGATTTTATATTAAAATTATATTTGTTTAAATACAGTTTTAATTTGCACTTATTAAAATCAGTTATGTAGATTAAATATGATCCACAATAAAATAGGGCTTTAATTAAAATTTAATTAGATCACTTATGTGGATCATATAACACTTCGAATCAAATATGGTTTTAATTTGTATTTAATGAGATAACTTATGTGGATTATATATGATCCAGAACCATACATGATGCAGAATATTTATATATAAGACTTTAATAAAAAGTTAATGTGTTCTGTATGCGACTTTTACTCGATTCAATTGCGGCTTTAAC